GATTCCTGATGTCAGATTTGTGTCCATTAATTCTTTTGCGTAGAGACTGTCCGGTTTGGCCAATGTACATGGCAGAGGGGCATTGCTGGCACATGATGGCATATATCACATTGGTAGATGTGCATGTGAACGAGCCCCTGATGGTATGGCTGATGTGATGATGCTTGGCTGGAGGTGTCAAGTCTTACAGTAGTCAGCTAACTTTGTCATGTCTCGGTTTAAGGTGACATCAAGCTCGTGAAATGTCCGGGCCTGGGTACTGCAACAGATGCCATCTGCGTAAATGAACTTTCATGACTCCATTGTTGGTAGGCCATTGATGTAAAAGTTGAACAGGGTTGGAGAAAGCACAGAGCCTTGGGGTAATCCATTGCTCTATTGTCTCCAAGCACTCGTCTTCTCCCCCATATGGACTCTGAACTGCCTATCACGGAGGAACAGTTCAGCGACGCCTGTGACTCAAGGTAGCAGGACCCGTGATACCTTCACGAGCAGGCAATGGATCAGTGTCTTCGTCACGCCACCCACCAGTTTCTGACAGCAGTCAGGGAAGCTAATGATCCAACCAGCGAGTCGAATTCTGCAAGCACTAGCTCAACAAATCCAGGCACTATCATCACCGACAACCCCAATGTGCAGCCTGGTGACTTCTGGGTCATTGGTCTAGCTCTATGCGTATTACAACTTAATGTGGAGGGTTTGTCGTCTGCCAAGCATGATTTACTTGGAATTCTTGCTCGTCGACATACTATCGACATCATTTGCTTGCAAGAGACACACATGGCAACTGCCGAAGCTGGGCGTTACAGTATTGACAGCTTCGACCTGTTGTGCTGTGTGGCACACCCGAAGCACGGCCAAGCCACATACGTTCAGTTCGATATTGCAGATGCCATTCAGCTGACGTCTACTGAATTCTGTGACACCATCCAGGTTGGCGGTTGCTGGCTGGCGAATGTTTACAAGCCTCCAAGCGTCAGCTGGAACCAAAATTTTGTACCAACCTTGCCACACCCAGCTGTCTATGTCGGAGATTTCAACAGCCTTCACACAGACTTGGAGGTGAAAGGACAACTCTCTTCACACATTCAGCCCTTGGTCTCCCCAACTACCAGTGAAGAAGCTATTTGTGGTGATGTGTTTTGTTATATAAATCCCAGTCTACAAAGAACTGGATGCAGTTAACTTCAGATACCCCATTAAAGAGCTGACGGATAGCTGACCTAGCCCTAAAGGGTTAAAGAAGTTTGTTTAATAAATTCCAAATTCACACAAATGTGAAAAGAGAAATGCAAACATTAGAAGAACTGGAAGGCTCAGGAGATTGGTAACAGGTTCATAGAAACTTAAGCTCTAAGGTTGCCATCTCTAATCCACTCAGGTCACTAACGAGTGAAAGTGTTAACATCTGATGGCTAATCAGCAGGGTGGATAAAAATCAATGATTTTTTTTTAATTAAAAAAATCAGATTTTTTTATTTAAATCTAATTTTTTTGATAAAATGCTTTTTGAGGAAAAAACTTATCTAAAGATAGTTTTAATTAAGATACATTATAGCTCAAAGAGATCTCATCATGGAATAGGGATTATAAATTCTAATTCTATAGTATGAGACAATATATTCATGTAATGTTTAAGAAAAGTTTTATAAATGAGTTCCAATAGGTCATGGATTAGGGACCCAATCTTATAGGGTTACAGGAACTTCTGTATAAATTATGTAGGTTAATCTTTCTATCTACCCAATGGGACTCAGTGCTCAGTCTAGAAGATATCATCAGAGATGCTTAGTTTTGCAGTTCTCAAACTATGGATTTGTGTCTTCAGAGATAACATGCTTGTCAACAGCAAAAATGTTATTTATTTAATTAATTAATATATAGAGGTGAGACATAGTTAAATAAAACAATTTAAATGTCTGTCTGGTGATGTTCTCCTCCTAATACAGCATGGGAAGAAAATCCTCCAAATATTAATGATTAACCAGTTGAATTGGAGATAGTTTACCTCCCAATGACTTCATAAATATCTGCTTCAATTACCTTTGGTAAATGAAATAACCAAACAATCATTCATTTTCTGATCTAGCTGTAAAACGAATCTGAAACGTTTTCAAAACAAATCACTTTAAAAATGTGTAGTGTGTACCTTCTAAAAATGAAACCTACATCTACCTCTGAGTTGTGAAGAATACGTATTAAGGTTATAACAACCAACGAGAATGCACTTTTATGTAGAAATCCATGATTAAATCAAGTCTTCCTGACTAGTGATTTAAAGTATGATTTAAAGCATGCTTTAAATCAATTTGATTTAAATCAAATCCACCCTGCTAATCAGTGACCTGTTTGAAAGGCAGCTGGTGGTTTTAGCCCAGTCTACATCACAAAAACCATCACCGCAATTGACATCCCGTATTAACAGTCTCAACAGAGACACCACAGATTGATCCCCCCACCCTCCCTCACCCCACCCCCAGTACTGGTCAGGCCCCCGCAGGACTGGTCAGGGTTGTTGCAGGGTAGTGTTGAGAAGTGTGCCATCCCATTTCCATGGGTAAAAGAGGACATGTGACTCCCCAGGGTTGTCAGTCAGCACTGAATTTGCGCACACGTTTTAAATTCTCGTTTTAAATTCTGTTAATATATTTTAAATGTACACTAACAGAAGCCAAGAAATCCAGTGTTAATGTCAGCACTCTACTCAATCCTTTGTGTTTCCTGACATTTTCATACATTTCATTTTTAAGTGTAGATTTTTGTACTGAATTGTATATAAATGTTTGTTATAGTATCAACCTACCTTAAATATAAGTAGTGGGCAGTTCGTTTAGATTGTGTGTCCTTGTGTTTTATTACTCATTCCCTATTAGTCTTCTACAAATGTTCCACTTTTCTTTAGTTTTGGCAAGCTGCTAAGAACACCATTTCCTTCCTTTCATTCTGGTGAAGTCCAATTGTTGTTTGCTTATACTACATTAGTCTTTCCCAGAATTTAGCCTGGAGTTTTTATACACTGGGGAGCCTCCTGTGTGTTTAGATTATAAAACACTTTTGTAATAGAACTCTGATAGTACCATGCTTTCAGATAATGCTGTCAAACTGGATTTCAATATTGGTTTGTCTGTCACTCTCTGCAGTATTCTGTTATTGAGATGTTAGTGTATAATCATTTTGTCCCCTCAGAAGTTACATTTTTAAGTTGTTCCCCACCTCCCCAAACTTAGACTTTGTAGAGCACTTTTTCTGCTTCTATAGTACTGTACAATGCCTTACTTTATTTCCTTTTTCTTTTGTTAGGTATATGTCGGTCTATTGGTGTAAGCAATTTTCTCATTAATCATTTGGAGCAACTAAAGGAAGATTGTAAGATAACCCCACATGTTAATCAGGTGAGTGTGTATGCAGTACATTTAAGACATCTGTTTTAGAGTAACCCCCTTCACCCAAAAAACATGATTTTTCCAGACCCTTTCAACAAATCCAAATGTCAAAATTAGTCTTAGACCAGAAAAAAACAAAACAAACAAAAAAGAAAAAAACACAACTTTAAAATAATTTCCCCACATGGTCAGTTGTCTTCTTACCAGATCTGTTTGTGACTGATGTTGTGGCCAATGGCTCAATTTTAGATGCTAACAATTTGCAAATAAACAACCTTCAACTAGATACTGGGTATCAAATCACCATCATAGCAATAAGCTACTTGAGGATGTATTGCCAAATTTAAGTACTGCATTTTAAAAAGTAGAGACCTAACTCACTTAGGCAACACTGAAAATCCTCACGACAGTGTATAGTTGTCACATTTTAAAGATTCTTTTGGTTTGAAACTCTTTATTCTTTCTACTGATATTCCCCAGTATGGACTAGATTCTGCTATCCTTCCTCATGTTGTGCAAGACTTTATTCCATATGTACTCGCATTCATTTCAATGGACTACACAGCTGAATAAGGGCAGCAGAATTTAGTCCTTAACGGCTCAGAAATATATAAAACCAGTTGCGGTGGGGCGGCTGCTCCACACAGGGAGAATAGAGTTGAGACGGGGCAAAGCCTTTCTGCATATTGCAGTCTGAGATATACATGGGGAGTGGAGTCTCTGGATCTGTAGGGACAGGAGTTGTCTATGAAGCTCCAGTATCCCCTCCTCATGACAGAATGGCTTATACAAAAACCATGCTGACTTTGGGTTCCCTTGTGATTAACTAATAGCAACGGTGGAGGATTTCATTCAGCTGCAAGCTCCTTTATTAAATCCCTGCCAGGTTTTCACACACAAATCCAAGGGCTCAGTAAAGAGCAGTGCCAGAGAACAGCGGGACTTGCTCCATCAACATATGATTGGTAGTCTTTG